AGTAGGAACCAGCTGCTAGCAAAGTCCAGGAATGGAATAACAAATTGGGTTTTGTCCCACCAGCAAATCCAGAAATTTTTTGGAAATATTTTTACTCACATTTTCTTTTATGTCTTGTCTTGCACTCCCCTCCCTCATTATTGTAAGCCGCCCTGAGTCCCCTCAGGGAAAAGGGCGGCCTATAAGTGTTCAATAAAACCAATAAAAACCTAAAAAGGGGACTCATAGACCCAGAATAAATGGAAAGCCAACCACAGCTCTTAATCAAAGACAGAACCCATGCAACAAAATAATGGTGACAGATCAGGGCCTAGGATTAGGAGAAGGAGAAGACCATTAGAAAATTTGAGACTCTCTGTGGCCTTTTTGTATTAAGCACCAAGGATTTTTTTAAAAATAGGGCTGGAAGAAATCTTGAACATATTCTAGTCCAGGGGTGTCAAATTCAAGGCCTGCAGATCAGATTTGGCCCATGGGGATGATTAGATCTGGCCTGTGGGCCCACCCTAGAAACAGCAAAGGACCAGCCCTTGGTGCCTCCACCAATGAAAATGGAGCTTGGGAGAGTGCATGCGTGCATCCCTCCTGAGCTCCATTTTTACTGGAAGAGCACTGCAGAAGGCCCCTGCAGGCACTCCTGATACAAGTGATGTTGAGCTGGCTGAACCCATTCTAGTCATGCCCCCTGGGTCCCCCAAGGTCAAACACAACCCTGATGTAGTCCTCAATATAAATTGAGTTTGACACCCCTGTTCTAGTCCAAATCCTGTCCAGTGCAGAGATCTTCATTCCAAAGAAATGAATGTCCAATCTTTTCTTGAAAACCAATGATTGAGCATCCACAATTTCAGGAGGTTCCATAGCTTAATAGTTCCATAGCTTAATAGTTGTAACAGTCAGGAAAGTCATCATTATTTCAAGTTTGGATCTCCCACTGTAAAGCTTCTAACCATTATTTATTTATTCAAATAAGTAAGTAAGTAAGCAAGCAAGCAAGCAAGTAAATCCAGAGAATAAACAATTTCCTGTCACATCCCTCTTGGAAGACTGCTATCATGTCTCCCTTTAGCTTTCTTTTACTTAGGTTAATCATACTAACTTCCTTTTAATCTCTCTTCATAAAATTTTGCCTCCAATAGCCTTCCCATCTTTGTCTGTCTTCTCTGAATTATTTTAGTTCCTAAGTATCCTTTTAAAATTATGACCTCCAGAACTGGACATAATATTCCAAGTGTGATCTGATCAGTGCAGCACAGAACAGTACTCTCACTTTCTATAATCTTGACATAATATCTCAATTGATGCACTCCTTACTAGGCCCTTTGGACATCTGCAGTATATTTCCAGATCATGCTTTATTTGTGGTCTACCAGGACATCTAAATCCTTCTTACACCCAGATCTTATTCAGCCAGTTTGATTTAGTGTGTTCCATTGATCAAACAATATCACTTATTTGGAATGAGGGTCCCTTCCAAAAATACAACAGTCCTCACCCTACTGTAATTTCAAAGCACCCTGAAGAAATGACTTTTTTGCCCAAGCCTTTGGCAAGGATAAAAATATCCCATTTATTCCTTTTCCTCGTTCCTATCTGGGGTTGTTTACCCTGCCATCATTGCTTTTATTTTGTGTTTTTTTTAAATTGTCCCACGTTTTTAAATGAGCCGCAAGGAGTTGGCTGGCCTTTAAATTTAATACATTATTATGGTTTGTCACACAGTCAAAAATTTAGACTGGATTTGGCATTTTATCCACCTATTGAGTTCTTTCCAAGGACTGGAATAGGCAGATGTTATTGTTTGTTGGTGTTAAAATTATTATTACTATCCTTCTCTTGCTTCATAGATGATAAAATTAAGAGTTTTTTCCATTGTAAAAGGAAAGCAATTTATTTTAATCCTATAGAGTTCAAAGGTTTATATTAAACAAAATAATTTGCACTCAGTGGCCTCATTAAATATTGTAACCATTAGAAATGTCTGAACATTTAAACAGTAATAAATTATTGGCAAAACCTCTCTCTCTTTATCTTTATCTCGATCTCTAGCTATCTCTCGCTCCCTTTAATTTATTTGCCCCAGTATATATTAATTCTACTGTTCTACATTAATACCTCATTAGTTTGCAATTTAAATTACTATTTTTTAAAGACATAGAGCATTTCTTAAAACCAGACAGCCATAACATTCATAATAAATAATTTGGAAGATTTTCTTTTAGCGCGGAAAATGGAATCTCCATTTTTTAGACTTAGTTTAGCTCATGGGTGTCAAATCCATGCTGTCACATTGCCATTATGTGGTGTTTCATGATGTTTTTCTTCTTTGCAGAGCTGAAGTGGACATGGCCTGCATATGATGCATCTGGCCCATGGGCCCCCAGTTTGACACCTCTGGTTTAACTGATGGACCCATGAAGCAAAAGAAGATGTAAATGAGAACATGAGACTGCTAATTTTTTGAGATGCAACCACAAGCCTGGAACATTCTATCACATGTGGTGTATGTGCCCCATCACAAGGAAGTACTGGTGCAAAATTCGGAAGTGGTTAGAAGAAATTACTGAGTGAAAAATAGAACTCAAACCAGAAGCTTTCTTATTAGGACTACTGGATCAAAAAATGGACAAACAATCTCAATACATAATCATACACATACTCACTGCAGCCAGGATTGGCTTCACTCAAAACTTGAAAAAAATCAATATACCCTCAGATGAAACTACAATCAGGAAAATACTCGAATGCGCAGAAATGGATAAAATGACCCATAGAACTAAAAGAAAGAGAAGAATCGGACTTCTATAAAGTATGGAATAAAGTATACGAGGGGCTAGAAAAGAGAAGCCAAGACAGAAAATAGAGAATACAAATATATGGAGATATAAATAATGAATACCATTGTAAGTGTTAATATTATGTTTATTATATTATAGGACAAAGTGAGAGGAAGGCAATGCAGAAGGGAGAATTATAAAAGCTAAGAAGGAAAGCCGATAGAGGAAGCTGTAAAATTACTGTATATTGTTATGTATGTTCTGTGTTTTGTTTTGTCTTATTGTGTTTTTTTCCTTTGCTGGGTCTTTCCTATTGTTTTTAAAGATCAAAACATTTAATAAAAAATATTTTAAAAAAATAATAATGAGAGTAAGGAAGGGTTTCAGGAAAGTCCTGCCTTAACGCCACAGGTGCCGCCGACACAAGTTCTGTGTCACACCCGCCATGGCCATGCCCCCAGCCACATCACACCCCGTGGTCCTTCTCCCCAGCGCTCCGAGGTCAAACACAACTGGAATGGAATGGAATTGAATTATTTATTTATTG